CCCTGAAGACTTCAAGCGCAACACACAACACACAACGAACCACTCAAAGACGGAGGGATCCCATTTTGCACCTTCACTTTAGAATTTTCAACACCCATCAAACGATCAGATCCGAGGCCCGAAGTCGGAGAAAAGTCTTGACCCGTTAAACAACGCAGCGCCAGCGCCAGGTTGCAACTTGGGCATTCCCCAAACTCCAAATTCCACACTCCACCTCCACTTCCCACTAGCTGCCGCATCACTTGCGACCTGCCCATGTTCTCACTTGCGACCTCCGAATCTTTTGCGACCTCCTCCATCACTTGCGACCTGCCCAGAATCACTTGCGACCCGCCCACGTTCTCACTTACGACCTGCCCACGACCAGTAGGGTGGTGGGGGTGGGGGGGCATGATAAGCACACCCGCTCAACTGCTTCAGCCCAATCTTGTCTTTCACCGGGGAAGGGAGCATGATAAGCACACCCACTCAACTGCTTCAGCCCGGTGGGGCATGATAAGCACACCCGGTCAACTGCTTCAGCCCAGTCTTCTCTTTAACGGGCGGGGGAGGGACCACACCCGCTCAACTGCTTCAGCCCAGCCTGCTCTTCACGGATGACAAATTGTTCTAGGGGGGAGGGGGGGAAGCCATACGTGCAGGTCAAGCAATCTGAAAACCAACAGCGGGGAGAATGGATGCATGTGTGAGCACGTGCGTGCGTCGGCACGTGCGTGAGTGGCGTGAAGGAAAAGCAGGTCACGAGCGACGCACCGCCCCTTCCCACTCCCGACTCCCGCCCTCAGCTCCGAGGGCTAGGCCAGCTCCAAGGCAAACATGTATTAACCATCAGAGTCATCATTTCAATCATCCAAATCAAAGGAACCTGTCACTACTTGTTCCGGCAACCGCAGCAGAAGTCGGCGGCACTAGGGGAATGCTGAAACCAAGCTAATACAAAAGGAACAAGGAATTCTAGGGGAAGTGTAGGGGCATGCCAAGGGAATGCCAAGGGAATCCTTGAAGAATACTCATTGCTAGAAATCGGGGGAGAGGAAAGATGCTTGCGGTGGGTGGCATTCTCAAAAAAATATTCGAACACCGCATGTGCGAGTAAAAGTGCATCCATCCATGCCAAGGCGCAAAAAGGCTAATGTCAAAAATGTCAAAAACACAGGCCCCATGGCGGCCCGCTCTCAACCTCAAAGCGTTTGTCCCACATGGAGAGACGAATCGGTGCTCATTTCCAGTGGGATTTGAGTAAGTGGCACTTGTTTGGGAGTTGGTTGGGAGTCACCCTGTTGTCCTACTTACAGTACAAGTGTGCTCACAACCCTCTTACACAAATAATGTGAGAGGCTACACATGACTAAGACGCCGCTCCTATGACCATGGCTTAATTTGTGTTTCAAGTATCGTCAACCTGATTCTAGTTATTCACACCGATATTTGTTTGGTTTTGTTTACCTTCATAGGGCAAATCCCGTGTTACCCCCGAATCAACCAAGTGAGCTCGTGACCAAACTTGCCCAAAGATCCCTCCAGGCGCCCGCACGGAATAGTGGCGAACTCGTCCAACAGCCCCGGCCCCGCGTCTTCAGTAGCCTCGCTCGAAAGGCCGAGAGCTGGGGCTCAAAGGAATAATCCCGAAACGACCTCAGCTTTGACCACACCGAAAAGAAAAACTGTGGGCGCACGAAACAGCGCGTACGGCAAAGACGCCAAGATCTTCCGGCTTGCATGAGGCCACCGGCAACCGCTCACGGGCGCATAGATCGTTAGCTGCGAAGGCAAGCCGAACACGTCCTGCACCGTGTGGAAAAGTCTCGGGCACATGGCCGGATAACATGCTGTACCATGGGGCGAGGGATGCTGAATGCGCGAGTTTCGTCCACTGGCCGGTGCCAGGGTGTCCCATGTGGCCGGAGCATCGAATCGAGCTCGCTCGCTTGGCCAAGGGGCGGAGCACCGAGAGATGCAAACGCTCCCCAGGGCCCGGCTCTTGGGGCATCCCTTCCCCAAACGTGACCAGAGGTTGCCGTCTCCCTCATATCATCTTGTTCCGCAGGACTTTGGGAAAACCAGGTCTTTACGTGTGCGGGGTGTCCACGGGCGAGTGTTCTTCCCAGAGCTCTTATGTTCAAGGGGAATGCTCTCCAAAGGAACACAACTGGGTCTTGATTGATCCCAAATCCATGAAATACCCATGGAAGTGACAAACGAGTGCTAAAAGAGTCGGGGAATCACAGTTGCGGAATCAAAATCATTGAGGCTTCTACGAATGCCTACCCACTGAGGGAATGATGGTGAGACTTTGCTGTGTGGCCACTTGTGTGGTTTGACATCAAAACAACCCCCCTGAGCTCTCCCTTGATGTTGCCGTTTGGTTTCGAACCCCCCCCCTTATGCATTGCAGTAGAAAAAGACCCTGATACGTGTGCTTTTCTTGTTCGAAAGGAACCCCCTGATTCAAAGCCTGAGGGGTTATCCATAAGGGGGCAGCATGATGTTCAACCGCAGGGAGCAAACCACAGCTGTGGAAAATCGTTTTTTGTTTGATACCAAAGTGGTGGATTTGCCATGACAACTTTAGCACTGAAAGGCAAAAGTGGGACTCGAATCCCATGCACCCCCCTCCAATAGGAATAGTGGCTTCCCGAAACCAACCATTTGCTGTAAGCTTCGGTAGCACTGTCTCGAAACATCAATTACCCTCCTGCCAGGAAAGGCCCCCCCCCCTGAACAAGCCCGGTTTAGGGAAAAGTAAGGCCTTCACAGTTGGCGGGTGGGGGGGGGACCAGGGGGTAGGGCTCCTGAGTTCCTGACACCTCAACTCAACTTCGACCCTCAACAAAGCTAGCTTGTTGCATCCAGGGCAAAGCCAGGCAAACACTGGACAATGACCATAATTCCGACAAACCTGACAGCAGAACCGCTCAAACTCTTCGCTCAATTGGCCCTTTCGGGGTTGGCCGGGCACTGCGTTTTCAAGCGCAGGCTGTAAAAGAACGCAACCTCCCATTCTCAAGCCAGGGACAGTTCTTCCTGCTATTGGAAAAGAAAGATGGCCGAAGCTCACTTCCTGAGTGGGCTGGCCCCTCACCAAGTGCAGACTTGTGGCATACCACTGAAATGGTCCAAGCCCAAACAGTCACTCCAGAATGAGATGTGTGTGGGTCAAAAGAAGGTACCCAAAATGGGTTGCCTGGTAAATGGAAACATGGTTTCTAAAACCTGCGGTCCCTGGTGGTTTATTTTGACCCATACCCAAATGGGAAACCCCTGGAAAGATGGAAATTAAGGTTTCGACCTCATGAGATCATATAAGAAACCCAACAGACCAGCTCACGAGAACACAAAAGGAATCAACCCCATTCGACTGGAGCAGTCTGCGCCTATATGTCTTAAAATATGTGGATGGGCGCAATCCTGCACCACGTTGAAACCATGGTTGAAACCATTGTTTGTTGGTATTTATAGGAGAATCAACATAAACCAGAGTTTCGCGGGTGGTGCGGAATGGATTTCGCAACCATCCACAGTATCTCCATCCCCAGATCGGCCGAAATGAAGAAGGCCCGGGCATTTCCATCCTCCGTGTGGAAGAACAGGCCGTGTGCCGGCGCCATCTGCAGAGCAGAGGGCCATCCGTCGAAATGACTCACTTCCGGAGTGGATTTGCGAAGAAAGGTGCGTGACGCAAGTCCAGGAACCTGACAGTGAGCAAAATAAGGAACCCCGCGTTTGGATGGCAAACAGAAACCGGTGCCCTCTTAAGCCAAGCAGCACCCAAAAAACATAGTGGACATGAGGCGCATGGTCCACCAAAAGGTTAAGCCAGTCACTACCTGTTCTCTAAATAGGCGGACACACAAAATGGTGGTGTTTGCTTTTAGCAACCCCAAAATGGGTTGACTGTATGGCTTACTAGTGGTTCATTCAACAGGATAGGAGAAAATCGGCGCCCGGTTCCCTCTCGACATCCCCAACTCAACAGTCGTGGCATCGCTGTCTGTTGTTCAGGATCGCGTGATTGCATGCCTCTGATTCGGTCCCCCAATGAAAATGCTGGTTGACCCCCCTAGCAGTGAGTCGGAGTTCCCCCCAGAGATTTGATGCTGATAATGGGATAAAAGAAGGTGAGAGTGATACAGAGGAGAGACTCATCTTGCATGGATTTATACAGCTAATCTATTTCTCAACATATGTGTGTCTTCTAACGATTTCTCTGTGTGTTACTTCTATTTCAATATATGTGTAATCTTCATGTTGTTATATGTTCCAGTTTATTTGATCATATTATTGCCTGTTTACTGAAAAATGTATGATTGGTATGTGTAATTTCTTAATATGCCTATCTGAATAAGACTTGCAAATGAAAGATCTTATAATTTCAGATACAACAATAAAGCCTACCCATCAGGGGTCAACATCAATCTTGGTGAATCAAAGCGGCATCCTCACATTAATCTTCTGAATGCCGGCTTGAAGTGGGTGTCCACCCTCAAATGTATTTTTCAGAACCCCTCAACATGCAACCACTTTAATGGACCCAGCTTTCCCTAACTTATGTTTTCCCTGCTAGACATGGTCAACTCCAAAAGAGAGAAAGGTTGTTCCCTGTTGCCACCGGAAACAATAGCGCTGGATGCGGAACAGGCGGCCTCTTTTCAGCGTACTCGGCGCCAAATTGCTCCGACTCGGCACTCAAATGCTTTGTCTTTTTGGGTTACTCCCTCTGCCCCGCCCCCAGCACATGGTCGACCACCTTAGGTTTGGTTTACTGGAAAAGCCACATTTGCTTCCTAAAGGTTAAGGGGCTTTTGGTCACACCAAAGACCAGCCGCGATGTTTGGTCTTTTGGAAATCAAGGGAAAACGGCACATGCTCATAAACATAGGGACAAGGGAGCCCAAATGGCTTCAGGCAAGAAAAGGTTTCGCTTTAGCATTCCCTGGACCCTTTTGAGGTTGGCTTGGCGTGTCGTTTGTGTTTCAGGAAACCCTTTTGGGGAGGGGCCAAGGGAAACCAGACGGAAAACCATGACTTTTTTACTTTGGCGGCTGGTTGAGGGAAACCAATGGGGACAACCATCCTTTTGGTCGTCGTCTAATTTCAGCCCGCGGATCCGCCGCGCGTCCGTCGGCTCAGGCGTCAGGCGTCAGGCATCGGCCTTGCGCTTGTGCGCTTGGCGGGGGGCTCGACGTCCTCGGGACTCAGACAGACTCAAAGGGCCCAAACCAGAACCCCTTTCCCTGCAAAACCCTTTTTGGGGTTGATTTGGCAGTGGGTAAAACATAAGCACCCTGGATGGAGCCCGATCGGTAAATGGAACCAAGGACTAAAACCTGCGGTCCATATCCTGGTGGTTTCATCTTGACCCATGCCCATTAGCTCGGAAACCACTGGGAAACTGAAGCCATCGTGGAGATCCAAATCCCAATTTTTGAGACAGACCTGGATCTCCATGGGGAAAAAGGGAGTTGTTCGCCGATTCAAAAGGGGAACCCACCCTCCAAGGCAAGAAAAAATGGAATTGCACTGGAGGCCGGCGTCTTTCTTTGCCGGGTTTAGGTTTTAACTTGTTGTTGGCTAGTCGGAAAACCAACAGATTCCCAAAAAGTCAAAATGTTAAAGACCCAACCCGATAGCAGTCAAGTACAGTGCTCCAACTAGTTTGTGGGGGAAATAAAATCCTGCCCAGTTTGAGGCCTGCTCAAAATATTTAGAGGTTATCAGTTCTAGCAGGGCCATCCCTTATCGCATCCCCACCCCTATCAAGAATCATGAAGGCCCCGCGGATCTTACATGATGTTCCATTCACCCTCCAAGAACCATAGGACTTGTATCAAACGGGTTCTCCGCTTCGGATGTTCAATACTTGCGGACCGGGACCCCTTCCTACACATTGATTGGGGGTGTTGGAATTTTCTTGACCCAAACTCCTTCAGGTGATTTTCAGTACCCACTGGCCGGAATCGACCCTGTCCTTTTGCGGCCCAGTTCCAAAGGTGCTCACTTCGCTGCCTCTGAAAATGATGGCCAAAAGGGACACACCAAAACTTTGAGCCGAGAACGCTGAAACCTCACTCGATGCCATTGGTTTATCCCAATCCTTCAATAGCTGATGCATATCGAACTTGCATAGCCCCCACCTTGCATGTCATGTCGCACCACTTCTTCAGGCTTCAATGCGGGTGATGCGCGCGCGCACACAGACACCACACTCAGTTTCAACCTGCCAAACACCACGCTGCTGGGAGAACCAATATGAGCACTAATCAAAGCTTACCCTCATCTGGATAGGTCGTTGTTCTTGCTCTAACGCCTTTAGCGCCAAGAACAAAGCTACATTCGACAAGGACAGAACTGCTCGCTTCCTCTCCCTAAGCCGGAGTCATTATCACAAGCCTGGCAACAGTATACGGGCTAAAAACAACTGCACACGTTATGATCATCTTATGATGACGGCTTCCTTTTGTTGTTACAGTAATTCTAAAAAATAGCACCGTACGGTCCGCATGCTATGGCTTCCCTCACCGTTTTCAGGCGCAACAAAACTTCCACAAATGCCAAGCGGCGTGTGCTTGCGCTTGCAAGCACTGGATGTAGGTGTGCATGTTGCCTCGGTTGGAACCGAGGGCGCCCTTTGGCTCGAGAATGACCCGAATCAATTGAACCATCCAAGTCTCTAAGGGAATCCTCAGCTTCATTCCCAACCCAACGCCCCCTTTTGATTTCCTGAGATCATAGACTGGATATATTGCCCGAGCCTCGCATATTTTCACAAGGGCAATAATTCACAAGCACAGAATGTTTTTTGGGACTACGTGGTGCCGATTCACTGCATCTTGTTCCCGATTTTGATGTTGTCGTATGGATACATGGGACGTGCCCACCCGCCAATTGAGCTGGGATTCGCCCCAAAATCAAAGAAGATGTCTCTTGAGACGATGCTTTTGGTTCTATGTTTGCCTGCAAATAGGCAGCCGCCAAAATGGTGGTTTCCCTGCGCTTTCCTGTTACAAAACACGGCTTCGCTTTTGGGGGCTGTTTCCCATCCCTGAATGGCTTCAAACCGCCACCTTTTTCACGACCGGCCCGAAGGTTTCTTCCGCGATGTATAAATTCTCTTTGGGCGACTTTCATTCACCAGATTGCCTTCTCTGCGCGTGCGTCTGCGGAATGCTCTGATGGAAACTGAGAACTGGCTCGCCTGTTTTTGAGCTGGTACCCTTTTCGCCTCTTGGTTCCCGGCCAAGGGAATCCCCCTTCCCCAAAATCAACGGAGAAGCGAGACATATGGTGCCGACATCCCGAAAAGTCCCGGACATTTGAGCCTAAAGACTAAGGAACCTAAAGACGGTTCCAGCTGGCGTTGCCGTCTGCAGGCTTGGGACAAGCCTGGATGTGATGGGATTGGGATCAGCTTGATCCAGAAACAAACAAGCCGAAATGGAGACTGGAAGAAAACCGTATCTGCAAGGCTTTGTTCGAAGTGGGCCCCGCCCTGTTGCCAAATTGTGTACCCTTTTAGTTTGTTTTCAAGTGCAGGGCAGTCAGAAAAGACTCCAATGGCATCCCTCCGGGGCCCCCGCCCAAATCCCAGCGCTCGCCGGAGATCAAGACGCCGTCCACTCCTTCCCAAAGCAAATTGCGGCCCACAACCGATCTGGGCGGGTTTCCTTCCTAAAGCTTGCAAGGCGTTCCCTCGCTCGGTGCCTGGCCTTGCGCCGAGGCACTGGAATCGTATGTGAAATGCCCCAGTTGGAGTAATCCGACTCAGAGTTGGCGAATTATTGCTGGACTGTGCTTGCTCCAGGTGCGACCGGCAGGCAATCCGTGGGCCGACAAAAAGATCTTTGGCATGAAGCTGCGCTGCGGCGCCCTGAGGGAAGACTCAAAGGCGCTCGACTATTTTGTGATCAGAAGGATAGGCTGCACTTTGACTAGGTCTTCCAGTAGAGAGGTTAGAATAAGGGTACCTGTTTTTTCTGTAGTCTATTCTAGTAGGGGAACCCTCTCAACCAAAAAAGAGGTGAGAAAGGGCACTACTGGGGGACCCAGTTGAAGAGTTTTCGAAGGCCTCTGCCAAACGCTGTGGTCATGCGTCGTTACGGTCACGCGTCGGCGTTGGCCTGCCTAGCAACATCAATGAAGGCCTCTTAGGCAGGCTGTGGAAATGAAGACCAAAGAGGTATGGGGTCTTCTAACAGGGGCCGGGTGATTTCAGCCGCATGCTGGCTATGTTCAGTAGCAGCAAGGCCATAGAAAAAGAATGATCCTGACCTGGATCTGTCTACGGTTGGGTCATGATATCCAGCGTCCTGCGCGGTCTTGCCCAACAGGAATTCCCGGTGCGGGTGGCCCGTCCCGTCCATACACCGGGTTACCCCCCGGTTTCTGCTTGGTGCATTTGTTTTGGCCGTGTCTCCAAATGGAACATGGAAACACAAAGTACCCACCAAAAAAAAAAGACACCCGTATGTCCCAGCATCCTTGCGTGGGCCATGGGCCTGGCTGCCTAGGAATCCATTGAATTGGGTATGTGTCAAAATGCAGGTGCCCAACAAAACTGCAGTGTTCCTCTGTTCCCTTTAAGCCCACCTCAAAAGAGGGTATGTGCTCCGCAAAGCGCGTTTGTCATTCTCTTCAGGGATCCTTCTCTTTAAACAATTGGCCCATTCAGAACGATGGGTGGTGTCCAAAGAGAACCATGGGTGAAGAGAACGAGGAATCAATCAACCTCTCTCGAATTTGAGGGAATGACCCCCATGAACCATCCCTGGACTTGCCAAGCCACGAAGAAAAAAGAATTGGTACAAAGAGGGAATCAAAAAAAACAAAGGAAGAACTGGATCCCGAACTTGACATGCCCAGTGGCCAAACTAAAACCACCCGCGTATCGACCCGCGTTTGGACCCACGGCTCGACCCACGCCTTCCGACTGCCGCAGCTCGTCCAACGCCTGGGTGAAGTGCCCGCCCTGCGACTGGACATCCGAGGCACATGCGCGACATGCGCGACGTCCACGAAATTGGCTTCCACTACATAATGCATATGTTTGTATGTATATATGGTCAGACACCCCAAGACCCACCTTTCTACGTTTTGCACAAAACAAAATATGTTTGCAGATGTTCAGTGTCCACTTGGCTTGCAGATGCCTTGCAGGAAACACTGGACTTTTACATATATATTTTTTTGAGACGTTCTACATTGTGACACAGTATTTGCGTGCTTGATGTAAAACAAGACTCGAGAAAGCAACAAACCATCAGATGCAACTTTGCTAGTGTTGAAAACACTGTTATTTGCAGAAGGAAACTGCAAAAACACCCCTGTTGTCTTGTTCTGCGTTTTGTGATGGTTGCATCCTTAAAACATGCACGGGCTCCAACAATGGGGAAAGAAGAAAAAAACACTGAAAGCTCCAAAACCCGCACAAGCTGAGAACAATGCCAGAAAAGCAAACCCAGAAGCTATGTCAGAGGCCTAGGCTTGATTGGTCTGGATGCTTGCATTTGTTGCATGTGTTGAGCCTGTGCAGGTTTCAGAGCTTTTAGATTTGGATTTGTTGCATTGTTTGAGCCTGTGCAGGTTTTGGAGCTTTGGGTTCTTAAAACATGCACAGGCTCAAAATGTGTAAAACAAATCCAAAGCCTTTACTTGTTTCTGAAGACTGGACCATCTAGGTACTTCTCTGACAATTGACACGGAGCCCCGAAAACCACCGAAATGAGGGAGACATGCCTTTGGGGCGAACCCTGTTTGGGTACCACGCGTTCCATGTTAGAGAGGAAGAGCTGCCCGGAAGCTCACCCAGGATGAACCACCCAAACATGGGAATATATATATATATATATGTACATATGAGGATGCCTGTCAAACCTGCGAAATAGTGGCTTTCCTTTTGGTTTCCCTCCAAGCCAACCTGAAAATGGTACAGACTCCAAAAAGCACACACACACACCCAGGACCCTCAAATGGCGTTGCTCTCATGGGAATCCAAAAGGGAGAGGAACCGCCCATTTTCCAGCTTCCCGAGACCTGGAGACCAGCCAACAATTGGAGACATACAACTCATCTCCAAAGCCCCACGCGTTCGGAGCCCCGCCTTGGCGCTGCGTAAGATGCGGAAGATGCTGGCGGTCAGCGCGTAGTGCCCGAAGGAGGCCAGGTATTGGCCTGCCGGAGCCCTCAAAGCGAGCCACGGACATACACGCCCCATGCAAAATGAGCTCCAAAAAGTCCCCCAAGAAAAGGTCATACCGTATGTACCATTGAATTCCTCAAAATACGCAACAAACCTTGGCCCCGGTCTTCCAATCCAGTGACTGGTTTTTTAAAGCCAAGTGACTAGCCTCCCCATTGGGGTCCTCAAACGCCAAGAACCTTTCTCAGGCTGCTGGGGGATTTTGAATGGGTGAAGGGAAGGGGGATCAGCCCATAGATACATAGTCTCTGTGGGTTTTGTCTCGCTAGGGCACCCGCCAAATTTTTGGTTTCCTTGGGCTTCCAGTTGAACCAACCGCTTGAAGGGGTCCCTCAAGAAGCATATTCAGCCAACCTGAAAATATAAATGCCAGCTTTTGCTTGACCGGCTTCGGCTTACAGCACAAAATGATCCTTTGTTAGGAAAGCTCCCAAAAAACGGAATGCGCAAAAGCACCCCAGATGTTCCAAAACGGCCCTCGCTTGAGACCACCCCCTGGCGACCAAGGGGCTGAACAAGACTGATGGGACCTCGTGCCAGCGCGGGCAAATCGGAGCCCGAGCTGACTGATCTGGTATCTGAAGATCGCGAGACCCCTTGTGGCCATAAAACCAAACAGCCCCTAGAAGCGCCAGCAAACGCCTAAAAATCCGAAGGCCAAAATTGCGCTGGGTTTGGGGGATTCCAGAGTCCTGAGGCGCGTCAATCAGTGCGGCCCAGCTTGCGTACAACGAAGCGGTCAGACGCTTACCCACCTTCTGGAAAACCAGGGTTTCCCATTGTTTTCAGTCAGGCGTTCACTTCTTGCCCAAACAAAAGCTGGCATTTGGAGTGGGGGGCTACAGGTGCTTCTGACAATCCGGGACTAGCCTGAGCCACACCTCCCAAAACAAAATCCAGCCTGCAGGCAGCCCTGGCGTGACCAAGTGCTCCTCTGCGAATTCCCTGCACGGAGCTCGCGGTCGATTGTTTTTGAGGGTGGAGGGATCACTTGCGCCCACGCAATTGGGATCACTTGCGCCCATGGGATCACTTGCGCCAATTTTGCTTAAAAGGCGTCACTTACGCCCATAAAAAAAGGATCACTTGCGCCCATGGTCATTTGCAGTGTCGTGGCGGGTGTGGGCGGGGAGGGGGCGGAATAGCGTGCACCGCCCAAGCAGCTGCGCCATGTTTGCGGCCTGCGTGCACCGCCCAAAGAACTGGTCTGTGCTGCGCTGCGCTCCGCTGAGAAGCTTCTCCAACCAAATCTCGTATTTCTGAACCAAAAACCTAAACCAAAAACAACCCAAAACCAAGCCACACCATTCCAATGGTTCCCCTAGCGCAACCCAGTCTGAACTGGTGCAACTGGAAACCTCCTGTTTACTCAACAAAATGAACGGCTGCCATCTCCAACCAAATCTCGTATTTCTGAACCAAAACCTAAACCAAACACAACCCAAAACCAAACAACCTTTCTGAACTAAAACTGAACTGAATTTCATCAATCGCCAGATCGTTCCACCATTCTAAGGGGAGAGAAACACAGTGCGCCGCACAGATTCAACAAGAGACGGGCACAAGCGACCCCAATCCGACGGGCACAAGCGACCCCAATCTGACGGGCACAGGCGAACCCCCGGCCGTTTTTGAGGTGGTTCCCGACTAAAGTTCATAGCCATTGCAAAGGAAACCCCCTCCCAGGCAAAAAGGCAAAAACATCACTGAAGGTCTGGGATATCCCCTGTTCCAACTCTCCACTTTGTTTCGGGTAAGACGTGAACCGGGACTGAAATAGGCAAAATCCCCAAAGCGCCCCTGGTTCTGTGGTTGAGCATGGTTGGTGTTGCATTCTTTAAGGCATCCGCAGCACAGGGCTTCCCTTGATCCGGCCTCGTGGGCTTCTCTGCAAGCCGCGACAGCCTCGAGCGACAATCAAAGTCCGCTGTCAAGGTTTCATATCATTTTGCTGGAGAGTGCCGTCTTTTGGTTTTGGAAGAAGCGGAAACAAACCATTTTGAATCTCATCCCTATTTGGCGACTCGTTTTGGTCTCATCTGCTTAACCAAGACAAAAAGTGAGCCACAAAACGGGACATCCTTTCTGCACCTTTGCCCCCCCCCCCCGGTAATGCAGCGGGTGCGCATTTCATCTCGTGCCAACAGGGCTGTTGAACGCCCATGTATTGTTCACTTGCTCATGTACAAAAAAGCCCATCTGGCGTTGCACCCCCCTTCGCTGGGAGTGGCAACGAACCCGGCCATTCAGCCAAAATCTCAAAAGCTGCATCTGCCTTGGAATCCACTCAACACTGACAGCACCAACGCAGCGCCTTGCCACGTCACGCTGTTGACACTGCCACTGTTGTGCTTCTTCAGCTTCTTGGTGTCCAGCTGTTTCGCGCCAATCGCCTCAAAGCTTGTTGAACTTGTTCTCTACCCTTCGTCCTGATGTCCGCCAGGTTCTCTGAAGCGCGCACCTTGTGGAGGGTGAGCAGCTTGGCTTTCAAGGCAGGCTCTTCACCGCCAGGCGCCTGATCCTCGCCACTCCTTGGCGTTGGAATTCTCCGCATCCATCCACATCCACACCCGCACTTGCACAGGTCTGCCCAAGACTCCATGATCTGCTTGTAGAACGGAAGAGTCGGTGGAACCCTTCCTGGAGAGCAGCAAGGTATTCATGAAGTATCACATCCACAAGATTGACCAACAATAAACTTCAACAAAACCAAGGAGGAAGGGAGTTTTCATGAGCATCTGATGTGTGTCACGCCAGAGAGACCGGACATGAGCTGACTAAAGACTTCGGAGAGTCACCTCCAGGCAAATGTCCTTTCTCGCGTGCCTCAAAAATTTTAAAACCATGGCGCAATCTCACATCTCGCAAGGCATTCCTCCTTTCGCTGAGGATGCCGGCCAAGAACTCCACCCAGCTGGTTCCGGCCACTCTGCGTCCAGACCACTCCTTCAAGGTTGCCGAACTTCCCAACCATTCATAGACATCTGTCCTCCAGCGGTTCTTCCAGTTGTGTCCAAGCTGGCCTTTCGAGTCGCTCTCATCCGCCACCTCGCAAGCCTTCAACAGTTCCATCTTGCCCAGCTCCCCGTCATTTTTGAGACGCAGTGTTCATCGTCTGGGTATTAGGCATCGTCCTCGTCCAACTCCGGGTCGTCCTTGACAGGTGTGAAGAGGGCACCGATGACTGCTCTGGCCTCTGCATCTCTCTTCTGCCATCCTTGTTCTCGTCCACCACAACCGGCTGTGGGTCACCAGGATCTGTCCGCTTGGCTTCTTTCTTGGCTCCTCCTCGTTGTGGACCCACGGAACTCCCTTCATCTTCTGGAAGAGTTCCTTGTTGCGCCTCAGCTCTTCTCTCAAGCGCCTCGCTGTCCTCGCTGTGTGGACGCCGGTCACGTCGCCCACCAACTAGTCATCTTCAGCTGCCTTCCGCCTTGCGCCTGTCTGCCTGGCCCCTCAGCATCTTGTAGAGGATGGTCTTGCTGAAGGAACCAGGCAATCCACACACACTCATCGCAGGTGTGACGCCCATGCCGTAGTTCTCCTTCACGTCGCTCTTGATGGTCAGCAGATCACTCAGCTGCTCCAACGGTGGTGTGTAGACGTCTCCAGTTCCCTTTATCTTGAGAATTGTGGTATGCACTTGCCTTGCCAGCTGCTGAGTCACCGGCTCTCCATGCGTTCTCAACGTCACCATCAAACGCCCCATCTGGACTGTGAAGCTTGCCCGCAGAAGCAAACTCTGAACTCTCGAAGCAGCGCTTCCCAGGAAGTCTCGGGGGACGGTGCTCCGCCCACCAGACATGCCAGGTCAGCGAAGCAGGGCGCCAAACCAAGCTCGCGTAGGCACATTCACCATCAAACCTCTTGTTTTGGGTTTGTTGCCCTTGTCCTTCTCGCCGCGCTTGCCCTTCTGCTTGTCCTTGCGCTTGCCATTGCTTTTGTTCCTGGCTTCCACATCCCTGCGCGCTGAACTCAGCTTGCAAAGTAGTCCCACACACACTTCTTGAGCTTGTCAGAAGCAGTCCAATTGCTCGTCCGTCCTCAACGCCATCCTGATTCCAGATGGTGCTCCTCCTTGGACTGGTCCTGATAGCGTCTGATGAGCACCTCCCAACGCTCCACGTGTTCCAGGACGTTCTGCTCGGGCACCTTGCTCCACCGGCTTCCACGCTTGCAGTCCGCTGCCAACCTCCGCATTCATGATGACTGACAAGGCTTTGCCCTCCACGTGAAGATGTTGAACAAGGCCCACGCACACACCTTCGCATCCTGGGACGGCTCTGCGGTCTCCATCTCTGAGGCTGAGTGCGCCACGAAGACCCATGATGTCACCCAGTCTTCGTCCTTGCCGCTGAAGGTCTTCAGGCGACCACAGGCCCGCAGGTCCAGCAGCGCTAGTGCTGGCCCTGTGGCCTTCGGCGTTGCCATCTGCGCCGCGCCTCAGTTACCCGGGCTTGCCATTGAGGGTCTTTTGCGCCCAGCCTGCCCGGCATAGAGGGTCTTGCGGTTCCATGCAGCGGGTGCGCATTTCATCTCGTGCCGGAAGGGCTGTCGAATGCCCATGTATTGTTCACATGCTCATGTACAAAAAGTCTATCTGGCGCTGCATACAACGAAATAAACATGACAAATATGATGTCCAAGGACCCCCCCAAAATAGCGTCTTTCGGGCTTGATGATGAAGGGGGGCTTGATGCAGGATCCTTGACGTATTCGCTTGTTGATCAAACCAGGGCCCCCGTTCGGGTCGCTTGCGCGAAAAAAAGAAAGGAGGAAGCTATATATATATATATATATATGTATATACACTATCTTCCTATCATCCCCCTTTTCAATGGCTACCCATGTGTTTAGCAAACAAACACCGCACAAGAATTCATGGCTTTGACCTGCGGAATTGTTCGGCCGTCCAACGCACCGCACAATGCCGAAATCTGTGACAGCCCATCCCGAACCAAAGGCAAGCAAAGCATCCAAAGCCGATGACTAGCTGGACAAAATCCGACAAAAAAGGTGCAGGGAACTTCAAAGAACCACCAAGCAAGCGTGCTTCCCAAACTTCTGAGACCTCCAAAATGGTTCGCTATGGTCTCCTTCCCTTTCTTTAGACACCCATCGAAATTGAGCCAACTCTTCAAACGAAATCAGACCTAATGGTCTCCTAGGAACCTTCAAGGAGACCCCAAATCGGGCGTAAGCCAAAACACTATACGCGAGGCCTATACACGTTCATTGAAGAGGGTCCTAGGACGTTATGTGTACTCCATCAATTGTTCATCCTGCACCACGTTGAAACCATGGGAAACCATTGTTTGTTGCTATTTACAGGGGAATCATCATTCCAAGGTTTCTTAGGTGGCGCAGGATTGCGTCCATCCACAGTATGATTCACGTTTGTTCAAATAGCGACATGAACACTTGGACCCATCGTTTGATTCAAACACATTTGCGTCAATACGTGCTGATTTCCTAAAAGTCAGCGTCCCGTAAATTAGTGGTTTGGATTGGTGGCTTAAAGCTGACATTGACATGAGAACCCACAAGCTCTCTTTCTGTTGGTCCATGTGATCCGCCCCTCTTGGGAACATACGTTTTTGGCACCCCGGATCCGAAGAAACAAAGGCTACGCGTCCAAATAGGGGACCCTACCCAGAATAGTGAAATTGTGGGTCTCCTTTTGGTTTCCTATTAAACCGAATTCCAAAAATAGGGTACCCTCCAAAAAAACACACACACACACACACACAGACACAGACACAGACATAAACACAGACACAGACACAGCCACAGACACAGTGACACAGAGACACAGAGACACAGAGACACAGACACACAGACACACAGAGACACAGAGACACAGAGACACAGAGACACAGAGACACAGAGACACAGAGACACAGAGACACAGAGACACAGAGACACAGAGACACAGAGACACAGAGACACAGAGACACAGAGACACAGAGACACAGAGACACAGAGACACAGAGACTCAGAGACACAGAGACAGAGACACACAGACACACAGACACACAGACACACAGACACACAGACACACAGACACACAGACACACAGACACACAGACACACAGACACACACAAACACACAAACACACACACAACACACAAACACACAAACACACAAACACACACAACACAGAAACACAGAAACACAGAAACACACAACACACAACACACACACACACAAACACACACACACACACACACAACAACACACACAAACACAAAACACACAACACACAACAACAAAACAACACAAACAACAAAACACACAAACACAACAAACAACAACAAACACACAAACAAAAACAACACAAAAACAAAAACAAACAAAAACAAAAACAACACAAAAACACACACACAAGCAAACAACAAACAACAAACAAACAAACAAACAAACAAACAAACAAACAAACAACAAACAACAAACAACAAACAAACAAACAACAAACACACACACACACACACACACACACTTGAACTCCAAAAGGAGAGTGCTAATCTTTCGAGTACAACTGATGAGTCTCGAGTACAACTGATGAGTCTCGAGTACAACTGATGAGTCTCGGCTGAGGTCTGCTTGCAAGTCACTTGGCTTCACTTTAGAAACGAAACCGTTACAGGAAAGAACAAGAAGCACAAACAGCGCCGCAACCAAGGGGGCCAAAAGGACATTCAGATTCACGGAAAGCAGGTACACCACGTCTGGTCACCCCCCTTTGGCAAGCTTTTCATTGCAGTGCAGTTGCCAAAGGTGCTGCCCCCCCTGCTGCGAAAAAAGGGTGGTGACAGGGCATTCTGTCACTCCGCACACACACGCCCCTCTACGAGGGGCGAGGTTTCTCTTTTCTCCTGCAGGAAGATCACATGCTCAAACTCAA